AGTTAATAACTGTTATACTTAATGTATAACAGTTAATAAACTCAAACAAATTTCAATGCCAACTCATTTAAAATATTAATTAACATGAATCCGACTCATATAATTAAATATTTCTGAATAGAGTTCATTAATTGCGCTGTCTTAAAAATAATTCATTTAATTGAACCGGGTTCTGTATTGTTGCTCTAAAAACTATACCAGTAGATAAATTTGCGCTATTATATTTGTTAAGATGAAACTTTTGTACATACGAAATAATCACAAGAACGCAGCCCTAGTAGTAGCTATCAACTTATTCTAATCAATTTAATTTAATTTATAACGAAACTTTAAGGTCGATTTGATTCAGTTACATTAATACTTGGGGTATATTACTTAATATATTTAAGTTTTAGTGTTGGTGAAAAACAATTTTAAAAATAGTCACATGGTTTTCTTTTAATTTTTTTTTTACAACACTGTGAAAATATATAATATCTAACACCATAGCGAGTTATAGAATTTTGTTATACATATTTTGTATTCTAGAACTTTGTTTATAAAAAAAGGCCAAGGTCATTTTTTTTTTAAAGAACTTTAAGCATCACATACACGTAATATGTATAGGTAGCTAATAAAATAAAATTACTTTGACCTTTATTATCAAGTATATCAAAATACATGTACACGTCCATTTTTTTTTAGTATACGTGTTTAAAAAGAAACAAAAAATCTATCCATTCTATACATTGTGTCCCCCCTTTTAGAATTCCCTATGTATATCAATTTATACCGAATTAGAAAAATTATTATTCTAAATTACTATAATAATATTTTTATTGTTATACGTGAATTGTTATGTGTACATATAACAGTGATGATACCTTGTTTTTAAGTTGTTTAAGAAACATATAGATAGCGCAAGTATATATTGTAAAAATTATATAATAAGAATTAGATGAAGGATATTCTAGAATAAACTTTTCAAGGTTATCTATATTGTTTACTTAGAGTATAACTTTATGAAAAAAAAGTTAATAGAAAAAGAAAATGTAAAAATGGAAATTATTTTTTGTATTTTCTCTCTATTAAAACATAAAATCCTTAATATTATTTTTCTAAAAACCCATTTTATACCCCTGCTCGGGAGCCATCAATTTTACAATACATATATACATCGTATATAATTATATTCTCTTATAATACTCTAGATTTCCAAATTTTTCTCGTTATATTTTTTTTTCAATAACTGTACTATTATTAATTCACATGAAAGAGAGAGAGAGAGTATGTAAGAAAATCATATGAGAGAGACTTAGATAACATTTTATTTTATTATATTTATTGCTTGCCTTTCTAATTGCATAATATATTAATTTTATTTTCTCGGCTTTTAGCACATTTTAAGAATCGGATTTTATTTTTTTTTTTTTGGTCAAACTTGTTGTCATTTTGTCAAATCGTTTTTCTATTATTGATATCTGTAGCTAGTTTATGGTTAATGCTAAATTAATAAGGGGCCTTATTATGTAATTCGTGAAACGATATTCGTACTCAGAAAAATGTTAAAGTAGTATTAAACAATTTGTATCGTGTTTACTACCTTACCACTTCTGCAAACATGAAAATCATTTCACGAAAATCGAATTGCCCAGTAAAGGTCCATAGAAATTTGCTTTCTATGGAATGCAATGCATGTTATGGATAATGCAGATATGTATTGGTCATCAGAGAGATCCGGATAGCCCAATTTATCAACACTGTGTATAACCTAATAATTTTCTAATATATCAGCATACAATTAGGAATCTATAATTCTCTCTGATCAATTTAAGCTTTTAGAGCGCAAATTTTCGGAATGAAAATTAATTTTTCTCTCGACATTCTTACAACTTTCTGATTTTGAAAGTCTAATTTAGCACAATAAAATCTAGGGAAGAATATATAAAATAGAATTATTTTAGAAAATATTTTTAATTTTGTGTTATTTTACTTACCTTTACCTGTAAATTTCTTTTGATATTACTTACGTATTCAGAATAGTGAAGACAGCTTTAGTAGGTTTTATGTGGCTTCTAGCTGATGAATATGTTTATTTTGTGTAGATGTTTGACATACACGTTATTACAAAAAAATATTAAGAAAACTCTTAATAAATATGTGCATGTGTTTAATAAAGTAGTGAAAAACATGAGCTCAACATAAGCACAAAATAAAAAAAACCAAAAATAGAAGAAAGAAATGAAAATTCTTGTGTTCTTATTCAAGGATAATTTCTTGGTTTTCGTTTTTTTTTTTGCGAATACTGTTGAACAAGTTTTTCAGGGTCAATAAATTTTCATGAAAAACGAATATAAAAACAAAAGTGAAATGAAAAAAATAAAATTGTTTTTCTTCAACTTTCGTATTTTTTTTTTCTCTCGTCTTTTCTTCTTCTTGTTTCGCTTTTCTTTTATTGTTTTGCCTCTTCGATTAGGTCCTGAAGTTATTTTTGTTTTCGATTTTTTTTTTCTTTTGTTTTTTGAAAATTATTTTTTTGGTTTACTAATAGTCCTGTGAGCTTTTCTTGTTTTCTTAAATCAATAAAATAAAATGTAAGCAAAAATATTATAAAGAAGCATGAAAATAAAACAAACCAGGAGGGGACCTTTGATCTCGTTATAAATCAATTCTTTTGACATTACGAAAAATTGAAATTTTTGGAATTTATTTTTTTTGCTGATTTTCGAATAAATTATTGGAAAAAAAATTGAAATTATTTATAAAAATGTCTGCCTGTTTTTTTTACATAAATTGTTCGTCCCCTTAGATTTTAAGTTAAATTTTTTAATCAAGTGAGTTTTCTGAAGCTCGAAAGGAAATTGTTGGTGCTCCTACCAGCAATTGGCACAGTATTCAATTAATGCTTATATGGGAGAAACACACTCAAGATTTATAATCGAAAACTAATTGGGAGAGTGTTATGTGAGCTCCTGCTTTTGAGCTTGGATTTAATTTTAAAAATTTGGAATGGAATATGCGCTGAACTGGAAAACTTGTGTAACTCTAATGTTAATTTTATTAAGGAATTAAAAGAGAAATAAATTCAAATGTAAAATTGAGTTTGTACAAATTTTTACTCAATCTCATCTCTTCTTTTATTGAAACAAAATAAATTACGTTAAGAAAAAATAATATTTGTTTTTTAATTTAAAAAAAAAAACATAACAATAATTTGTGTTTTTCTCTCATTTCAGGAAATCTTCTAAATCTTATACGTTGTGCATCAATTTCTCTACGTATAAATAAATCAAGAAAAAACACGGAATCTTTTCAAAATTCTTCTACTATTACCCGAACTGCAAAATAAAAGATCACAAAATGTTGAACACAAGAACGTTAAACCTTACAAAAAATCTTCAAATTTTAAAAGAATTCAGCATTTTATTTATTATTTTATTAACAATATTAATAAATTCAGCAAATGGTTTAGCTAATTGCCCATACGGATGTAAATGTGATGATGAAACATTAGTTGTAAAATGCGGTGAAGGTCATTTAGATGTTTTACCGATTGCATTAAATCCATCAATCCAAAGATTAGTTATTAAAAATAATAAAATAAAAATAATTGATTCATCAATACAATTTTATGCTGAATTAGCATTCTTAGATTTATCATATAATCATTTAATTAGTATACCACCAAAAACATTTGCTTATCAAAAGAAATTACAAGAATTACATTTAAATCATAATCGAATTGGTTCAATAAATGATAAAATCTTAATTGGTTTACAATCTTTAACTGTATTAAATTTACGTGCTAATTTATTAGATGAATTAAGCGCTGGTACATTTGTACAGCTAACAAAATTAGAAGAATTAAATTTAGGACAAAATAGAATAAGTAAAATTGATCCGAAAGCATTTGATGGTTTAATTAATTTAAGGATATTATATTTAGATGATAATACATTAACAACAGTTCCAAGTTTATCATTTGTAGCGATGCCAATGTTAGCCGAATTATATTTGGGTACAAATTCATTTACAACAATACAAAAGAATGCATTTAATGATATGAAAGGTTTAATTAAATTAGATTTAAAAGGTGCTGGTTTACATAACATATCAAATGAATCATTTAAAGGTTTAGATGGTGTTAGAATATTAGATTTATCAGATAATCGATTACAACGAATACCAACAACAGAATTAAGTAAAATGACACGTCTTGAAGAATTATCACTTGGTCAAAATGATTTTGAAATAATACCAGAAGGTGCATTTATTGGTTTAACAAATTTAAAAAAATTAGAAATAACTGGAGCCGGACGTTTAAAACGTGTTAATACTGGTGCATTTACAACAAATGCAAATTTAGAATGGTTAAATTTATCATCAAATAAGGAATTGAATGAAGTGCAAGAGGGTGCACTTAGCGGTTTACCACATTTAAAACATGTTATATTAAGAGATAATAATTTGCAAACACTTGCCGAAGGTTTATTCCCATGGGTTGATTTAAAAACATTAGATTTATCAGAGAATCCGATAATATGCGATTGTCGTGTATTATGGCTTAGAAATTTATTAGTTGTTAAAAATTTTAGTCAAGATGCAAATGAAAATATTGCAAATGTTTTATGTGGATATCCAAAACATTTACAAGAAGAATCATTACGTAATTTATCACCGGGCCTTTTGGGTTGTGCACGTACTGATCATCGAAAACAAGCAATGATTGGTGCTTTAATTGTTGGCTCAGCAGCATCAGTGACAGCACTTGTACTAATATTATATCGTTGCCGCCGAAAGATACGTGAATTTTTAAAAGGCGGTTGGGGTAATTCAGCTCTTGGTCGTAAAGAACGTGAATATCAAAAAACTTTCTCTGATGAAGATTATATGTCACGTCATCCACATCCATGTGGTTTAAGTGGTTTAGGTATTCATCCAACATTTACAAATAATTATAATCCACATCCAGCTTATCCAGGCCATAGACCAATACCAGTTACGGAACTATAGCTAGAGGCTCCACCACTCCATCCATTAAGGAGGAGTGGTGCCTCGACCCTACAACAACTTCAAGTACCAACCTCCACAGCCACCATAAATCATATAAATGGTGCTGCAACACTTAATGGTATTAGTCGTGATAGCTCACCGACATTTGTACAATTAAGTCAAGATCATTTAATGATGCAACAACAACCAATAAAACCAATTCATAATCAACAGAAGTCACAAACACAAATTGAAACAAATCAAAATCATTATAGTCAACCAATAATGGCATCTGTTAATGGTAATAATAATACAATGAATGGTAATTTAATTAATAAAATTAATAATAATATAACAACAACATCAATTACAACACAACAACAGCAACAAAATGGTTGTTTACCAAATGGTGGTACTGTTGATCGTCATCAACAATTTCATAGGGTCAATAATAATTTTAATAATTCCTATAATCAAAAACATCATGCCCATACTTTAGGCCATAAAAATGGTTATATATTAAATGATCATATTGGTAATGGTAACAATAATATTGGTTTAATAAATGGTGTTAGCCATCATCATTCCGATGATGATAATGGTAGTATTAATGCTAATTATATACATAATAACAGTCATTATTCATTACCATTAGATCATGATTTACCACCACCAACACCAACACCAACACCACCACCACCAGCATTACCAATGAGAAATGGTGCATTACCAAATGGTAATAGTACGACTGGCCGTAGAGCAATTAATCAAAGGCATTACCATTGATTTGAATTAGGTTAGGAATTAATTAAAGTAAAATAAAAAAAAAAATTGAAAAAAACAAAAAAAAAACTATAAAAAATAATATTAAAAAAAATCAATATTTCCTTTATCTCAGACAAAACAGCAAAGAAGAAAATTTAAGGACTTACAGAAAAGGAAAATGACGACGATAAAAAAAATCGAAAAATTCAAAAGAACTACATGAAATCATTTTTTAAAAAAAGAATACAAAAAAAAAGGACATACCAATTTAGGATGTTTTATATACGAAATTTATAACGGATCAAATGTAAATGTACCCAGAACAATTAAAACAGAATTAATAATAAAAAACAAACTGCAAAAATAAATTTATGTTTTTATATAATTTATTATTTAAACAACACAAATACTTAGAAATTAATAAAAATTTACTGTTAGAAATGGTGTTATTTTCGAAATTTCGAAAATCCTTCTCTTAAAGCAATACATAGGGAAACCTAATAATATAACAAAAAATCAAATTTATATGTAATTATACGATTACTGTAATTCGCCAAATATAAATTTCGAATAATATTGAATAAAAATAAAACAACCATAGGAATTACAAATACGTTATATAATGCCAAAAGAACTAATTACATACAAAAATATATACCAACTGCCATTCAAAATAAACTGCACAATTAAAATAATTTATATACACAAGAGAGTATATTATTATATTTTCGAAAAATTATATGATAATTCCGAAATTTCGAAAATCTACATAAATAACCAATTAAAATATTCCAACATACATTATAATTCAATATTATAAATAATACACATTCATAATATAGTAAAGAAATTATATATTATGTCTTTTATAACTTGGAACTTCGAATTCGAATAAAAATATAACAAATTATGAACGCCTATTACAGAAAGAGTAAAACAAATTAAATAAAATGACAAAGAACTAATTAATATTCGAAAACAAAATAATTAAAATTTTTCGAAATCTTTTAATTATATAATATTATTATTATTATATATATATATATATACATACATGTCATAGATATTAATGTATATATTTATATACTACTTAATAAATAATTTGTAAAATATTGTAATAAATTAAATATAATCAAATAAAAATAATTTCTATAAAATATGATGAAAAAAATAAATAAAAAATTCATACATACATACATAGTTGTAAAGGTTAACAAAATATCTAGAATTATTTTTAATTAATTTCGAATTCGAAAATAATTTATTTCGAAATTGTATATTATTCGAAAATCATAAAAAAAAAAACCAACAATTTTATTTATTTCGAAAACTAACTTAACGTTAGTTTTACAAAATAAAACTCGAAAATAAAATTAAATTTTTTTAAATTATTTCCATTTCAATATTAAAGAAATTTCAAATATTTTTTTCTGATTAAAATTCTGCAAAGTAAAAATTTTGCATAAACAAAAAAAAAATAATAAAACGAGTGTACATAAGGGTTAATTCTGTAAAATTTCCTATAAGTATAATTAATTTAAAAAATATTTCATTTTGTTCAAAATAAAAAAAAAAACAGCAAAAGAATAAAACTTTGTAAATAATTATTAAAAAAAAAATTTTAGAATGTTAAATTTATATAAAAAAAAAATGAAAAATTAAAAAAAAAAACAAAAAATTGTCAAATTAATGTATAAAATAAATTTAAAAATTGATAAACTTAATTATATTATATACACACATATATACATTTACACATAACATGCATATATAATATTTAAAACACTGATATGAAGAAAATCTTATAAAAATTTAAATTTGAATATTTTCAAGAAAAATTAAAAAAAAATATTTTTTAAAATTTGATTAAATTAAAAAACAAAAATTAACATCAATAAATTATTTAGCCTGCAAATTTACACAACACATTTCAAAAATTTATAATAATAATTAATGAATTTCAAAGATATAAAATATTTGCTTATTTCAACACCTTAATATTTTAATTCCCTTATAAAATTTCTTTAAAATCTCAATACAAATTAATTTATTTTATATACCTACAACATATGGTAGTATAATATTATTGTTACTCTGAGAATTCGTTTTTAATTAATTCAAAAGCTACTGGCCTGACACAATATTAAATCTCATATATTGATATTATGAAATACGAATTAACTACAATACCATTACAAAATATTAATTTGCTATCATTATATTATGAGATTTAAATATTTTGGGAGCGCAATTTTAATAGCAATTAAATTATTATTATTACTCTCATCTCTTGCTACTTTTGTCTCTCTTAATGTAATGTTTACTGTAATAAAAGTAATAATATGTACGTTTTTTTTTAATATTAATTTGAGAAAATTTATTTCACAACACTTTTCAATTGTAAAAGCTTCTTAATATTTCTATACTACTGAATAATAATAATAGTTTGGTAAATTATTGTACCGTATTTTGAATTGCAAATTTAAATATATATCTAAAATCTCTTTAATTTTAATTCAGTATAATTGAGTTCACTCTTACATTAGGAAGTATTTTTACAGGCTAATAACAATATTTTAAGTGATTAAAATTTAATTAACTTCGAAAATATTATTAAATATTATAAATTTGAATCAAAATTAATAAAAAAGAGAAATAAAAAAAAAATAAAAGACATAAAGAAAATCCAGTGATGTTAAAATTTAAGTATTTTTTTATTTTTTTATTATTTTTAATAAAATTAAATTTTTTTAAAAAAATATTAAGAAATAATTAAATTCATAATTATATTTTCTTTTAATTAAAAATTTTTTAATTGAAAAAAATTATTTATTCTTTGTATAAAATAATTATAAAAAAAACAAGAATTTTTGTAAATATTTTTTTTTTTTTTAATTTTAAATAATTATTTACTAAATTATATTATTCAATGTGTATGTATTTTTTAATTAATTCAAAATTTACTTAAGAAAATTCACAAAAATATTATTTAACTAAAAAACAAAAAAAAACAATAGTTTATTTTAATTAATTCAATAATTAAATTTGTATAAAAAAAAAAAATTGTTTTTATATTTTTTTGTGTTATTAAAATTTTTATTATATAAATATATATGTATGTACTGATTGTGAAAAAATAAATAAAAAAATATAAATAATGTTAGTAAAATATTTACACACAAGCCAATTAAGGATCCTAAAATAAAATTTTATTTTGGGCAATATTGGGAGCTTGAAGAAATTGAAATTTAAATGAGAATAATAATAATTATATTGGTATACATTTGTGCTCATAATTTGGAAAATCGAATGGCCTGAAACAGCAAAAATAAAAAATTCCAGATTTTTGGCGCTGGTGAATGTTATCTTACTTACATTCTACAAAATTAAGTAGAATTGCGAAATTCTTATATGTAAGCCTTATAAGACTTAACTATTACGCATTTGTTACAGTTTTAGCTCATTTATATTCCGGGCACACTTATATTAATTAGTTTATTGCCAATTACAGAATTGGTAATTACAGAAAAATTGAAAAAATTTGTGTGCAGGAATAACATAATGGTGAAAAAAATTTCTTATTTTCTTTGTGCAATAACTATTCTACAATTAATTTTTCCAATTAATTTGAAATTTTTGTAATTGCAAAATTTCTTTTTTTCTCTTATCATTTAATCTGATAGTCGCTCATTTGTCTGAGTCTCAATGATAATTGTTTTGGTTCTTTCCTACAATATTAGTTTTCATGGGAAATAATGCTTGGCCTAAGCTATTCGTCTGATATAATTATACCAAATTCTCTATAAATTCAGTGGTAAGCCACACAAGAGTAAAAAAAAAACTCTTACAAGAGCTGCAAATTCTGTGTACCGAATTTCCATTTGAAAATTTTTTTTTGTAATTAATTATTATTTTCATTTTTTTTTCCATAATTATTGTATTCTTATTAAATATATATGTATATAAAAAAAAACATAAATAGTCATTCTAAAATTATAAATATTTTTAGTTTTAAGGCAAAAAAGAACAACAAACAATAAAAAAAAAACTAAGAAAAAAAAATTGTAAAAAAAATATGAAAAAAAATGTTAAACAAAAATATTTACAAAGAATTTTAATCTTTAAATAATTAAGGAAAATTGTAAAAAGAAAATTTTAAAAATATTTATTAAAAAACAAAAAAAATATTATTAAACAAAAAAATTCTTTTCTGTTTTTATTTTTAAGTTTTTATTTTTCAGTTTCCTTTGTTTTTTTTTTTTTTTTGAAATTTTTCATTTTAGAATTTTTTTTTTGAAAATTTTCAAATTTTAAATTTTTAAATTTAAATTCATTTAATTTTTCAAAAATTCAAAAATATTTTGATATTCTTAATTAATTTTCATAATTAGAAGCTTATAATATTAGAAAAGAACAAATATTATAAGTTTTTCATATACTACAAACGTATATACATATGTATGTAAAGATATTTGAGAAGTCCATCGTAAAAGGGTGTGTATTGGGCTACTATAATTTGTATGTGAGTTTGATCTGGTTTATATAATTTATATGTGAGAATCATCTGGTCATGACAATTAGTAAGGAGTTGAAAGTCATCTGGACATGACAATTAGTAAAGAGTTGAAAATTTAATTCCAATACTGTAAAATGTATTTGCTTTTCCAAAATAATGATCTTATTTTACTCCAGAATAAATTGAAAATCCAGAGAATTTTGTCTCTACAAATATCTGAAACCTGAAAGAAAAGACGTTTTGTTACTGAAATATTGGAATGGATTACAGTGAAATTGGGTTAAATATTTATAAATATAGCGGCCATAGTTAACTAAATAGTGGTAGTTTTCAAGACGGAATGGTTGATTATTGCAGTTATATAAGTCTCATTATTATCCCAGGTAATGAATTAACTAATGCGGTAGAGATGATATACGAATAGAAATAATAACCAAATTTCGAAACTGTCACAGTCATATTATATGAAGTGCATAAAAATTAAGAACAATAATTATGATGAACGCAAGAAAAGATTTTTATCATAAAAAATTGCAAATAATGCCAAAATATTGCAATTGTTTTATGTGTACATGTATATATACACTCAAAGGCGTCATATAAAGCTACTAAAAAATTTATTTTGTATTTACATAAACTCAAAATGGAGTCTCATTTCTGCAGAGAAATTTACAAAAAACTGAAGCAATCTTAAATAAAAAGCTTCGCAATTGAATCAATCAAGATCTTGGAAGATGTTTCTTCTTTCGGAAACTAAATTAAAATTAAATTTTTCCGGAAAAAAATCAAGGAAATTTTATAAGAATAAATTAGAGGAATATTGGCCATTGTACTCATGTAGGTAGTATTTAAATTCCAATTCTTAAACTCTTCCTAATTTAAATTTAAATTTTCTTACCTAGCTATGAATTCGTCCATAATAATAATTTAATTTTTAAAATTTATTCAATAATAGAGA